GGGAGCGAGCCACTGATTTGGCCAATGCTCTTGTGGAGCTGGGTGTGTCACACTCATTAGCCTATGTGATCACAACACAGTAATAACTGACCCGTGCCACTGTCCTCATTTTATAGATAAGAAAACCAAGGCTCAAGGAGATTTAGTAATTTGTCCAAGATCACGTTCAGGGTAGAATTAGGGTCTAAATTAAGGTCTGATTCCAATCTATAACAAGTTAGCAGATGCAAAGATTTGAAAGTCCAAAGTCTGCACAGATCTGAAAACTTAGAAACTCATCCAGGATCTTCGACCCTCTCTAAAGCATTTTTGAGGGGTGTTTCTACTCCCATGGCTCCCTATTTCTGTCACTCCCTGCCCTCCCCACTACTTCAGGACTGGACAGCTCCCGCACTCCCAAAGGCTTCCTTTCCTTAGGGCTTGACTTCAGAATTGGCTTTTTGTCAGAGTGACAGTAGGAGTATGGAGGTGTGTGTGTGTGTGTGTGTGTGTGTGTGTGTGTGTGTGTGGCGTGTGTATATGGTTGAGCGTGTGTATGTGTCTGCTATATGTGTGCCTTTGAGCATTCATGAATAGGTATGTGTGTGTGTGTGTGTGTGTGTGTGTGTGTGTGTAGGAGTGTGTAATGTGTGTGCCTTTGTGGCCAGTGGCCCATCTTTCCCTGGTTACTGTACACAGAGCAGTTTGAGTCTATCTCTCTGCCTCTATTTCTCCTCTAAAATGACAGGGTCAAGCCAGGTAAAGCTTGTGTACATATGAGTTCACGTGTCTCCTGGTGTATCTTTATTTGTGACTCTGTCACAAATACATAGACTGAGTCTGTGTTTTTCTGTGTGTATGTATAAGTTTATGTGGGAATATATATAGATATATATCTCCATGCATGGAATGTGTATGTGAAAGGGTGTCTGCAGGGAGACACAGATTCTCTCCGTGGGCTTAGGTCTGTGCCTTGAACCATATCACTCAGGGCACAGGACTTTGGTGGGAGGCCCTGCTGATGAGGAGTGGTACTGGATTGAGTGGTTCTGCATCCATCCATTCCTGGGCTGTTCCAGGAGCTTGCTATCTTTTCATGCCTGAGTTTACCCTCTGCAGAGACCCAGCAGAGAATATCACCACAGAACACTGGTGCAGTTAAGATAAAAACTTTCATTTTAAATGAAAGGACCCCTCCTATTGGGAACTGGGTTCATAGAGCAAGATCCGTCATTAGTGACTTCAAGGATCTGGTTAAAAATCAGTTTTTGTTTGTTTTGTATCAAGGATTGAACCCAGGGGTGCTTAACCACTGAGTCACATTCTCAGCCATATATATATATATATATATATATATATTCTTTTTATTTTTATTTTTTATTTTGAGATAGGGTCTTGCTAAGGTGGTTAGAGCTGGGTTACTGAGGCTGGCTTTGAACTTGTGCTCTTCCTGCCTCAGCCTCCCGAGGTGTTGGGATTACAGGTGTGCCCCACCATAACTGGCGATAAATTTCAGTTTTTAATGTGGGATTCCATGATATAAATAAAGTGTGAAGTGGTTGAGCTTACTGGGGATTTGGCAATCCTCTTGCCTTTGGAAGTTTTGGTTGTAACTTCATTTCTGATAAGAAACCTATTTGACCTCTGTCCTATTCAGGCTCTTCGGATTGTAAAGTGATGAGAACAATGATGTGTGGTAGACCACCCCCCCAAAATGTTTATATTGTTACTCTTGAAAAATTTCTAGAGATGCGCCTTTCTTAGTAATCATGTGGGGGCCACGCGACTGAACTGTGCAGCCTGCGTTCAAGCTTGCCAGGGGCCACTAACAAGCTGGCACTGGGAGCTGGTGGAAGGGACTCAGGGATGGGGTTCCTGCTTCCAGCCCTCCCCTGGGCCACTGGAGGACGTGCCACATGATACTGTGTATTCTGCACAGATAACCTAAATTTGTGCCTCGAACATTTCCACCTCCCACAAGTTAGGGAGCACAAGAGGCCAGTGGCTCATGTCCTTGTCACTGTACATGGAGGGGTTCCGAGATGCCCCTCTGCCTCCTCCATTTCCCCTCTGTAAAGTGTCAGGGTCAAACCAGGTGAGGTGACGGTTCAGGACCCTTGGGTGCAGGGAGGGGGCTTAGTCCACCTCAGGGGAAACACCAGCTCTGCCTGTTCACATTGGTTCCCTGGCTGTGGGACCTTGGGCACACTGTTGACCTCCAGGCTGCTCCTTATCTGTGAGATAGGGACGGCCATGCCTTCTCACTGAGTTGTGTGGATCAGCGAGTCAACAGACATCCAAGCCCTGGCGTAGCTCACAGCAGGCTCTTGGTGCCCAGCTTCCCTGTTATTTTTAAAATATATATATATGTATTTTTAGTTTTCAATGAACCTTTATTTTTCTTTATTTTYATGTGGTGCTGGGAATGGAACCCATGCCTCACACATGCTAGGCGAGCGCTCTACCCCTGAGCACTCTACCACAGCCCCAGCGCCAGCTTCCCCGTTATTACTGTGGAAGCTCTTTCTAAATTATCTTAAAACAAACAAACAATCATCTCTCAAACAATCAACCGTGGAATACAGTGGGAAAGGTTTTTATTTTTTAACTCAAAGTCACCCTTAGTGTATCTCTTACATTGGTGCCAACCCCCAGGGCCCACTTTGGTCCCCAGGCCCACTTTGGTGGCGTGAGGACCCCTACTTTGGGCAGCCCACCGTGACCTGGCAGAAACATGGCTCCAAGCTGAAAGGACTGTCTGTCTGCTTTAGTGTTGGGGTCTGGGGGTCAACGCTGGCCCCAGGTCTTCTCTCTGGCACCCTCAGCGTGGTTACTCTCCGGGCACAAACCTTGATGGAGATGAATCTGTGGGCATATCCCTCGTCTCCTGCTCTGGGTGGCTGGAGGAGAGAGCTGGGCCTTCCTCCAAGGCCCCTACATGGCAACCCCAGGCAGGACTTGTGGCCGTACTGGTCCAGGAGCCAGGGAGGTTCTGGGGCCTGCTGCCCAGGGCCACCAGAGTTCCCTGGGTCTCAGGGTTAGTGGAGCACCCCGTGAAGACGTCTGCCTCAGGAATCTAGCTTGCCTGCGTGGAGTTTTCACGGGTTCCTTCCTGAACACTTCACAAAAGGCCCCTGAGCACAGTGGGCAGCACACCTCCTTCTCACAGTGGGAGCTGGAGCCCAGGAGCTCAATAATGGGGCCAAGGGGAAGGCGTAGAGGAGGATTCGCCCACTCGGGAGGCCTGGCTCCACAGTCCGTGGTCTTAACCAGGGTCCTTCCTGCCCCCTCTTATCACATGGACATTCTTGTAGCCACTGTGTGCTTGGCACTTCGTGGGGCACATCGGACCTTCTGGACAAATACTTATGAATCCAACAGTTTCTTTCCCAAGGAGGAAACCCTTTGAAATGGAAAACTCCCACAGGACTGGGGCAGCTGGCAGTGTCCAGGCCTGCATGCGACTCCCCAGAGTGGCTCCTGGTTCTTGGCCTGAGCCGGGGGGAAGGCAAGTCACTGGCTTGTGGGTCTGACTTATGCAAATGCTCCTTGTGCTGTTTCCATCAGGGCGCAGGTGGGACTGGACTTRACTGGCTCCAAGGCCAGCGCTTGCGCACGTCGGGCTACAGATAGCATTTAGTGTCCCAGTAGCCCATTTTAAATACAAGTGTCTTAAGGTGAGAAAGCCTTCTCTCTATGTAGGTTTTCATGTGTTAAAGTTTTTCTCCCAGTGCTTTGAGAATTCCCTAATTCACTAACATTTTAAGAGTTAATTTCAACCATGARCACGATATGAATGGACAAACACGTGTGATTCCTGTGAGGTTTGGTTTTAGGAACTTGGGGACATTGTGGAGTGGCTCTGAGGTATTGAGCAACGGTGTCACCTTGGTCCACTTTGGTCCCCAGGATTCCACCAGTCACCAGTTGTTACTCAGAGATCAACATTCASGGGGACACCCTTGCATGCCAGGCGCCTGCTTCTGGTGAGGAGGACACAGGGCTCCTGCCTCTTCAGGATCCCCCTTTTAGTGAGCAGACTGCGTGCAGACAGACATTAGCAGAGTGCTGTCTAGAGCGGGAGGSAAGCCCCAGATTGGGGACCTCAGAGGCACTAGGTCACAAGGATGCTATAGGTACCTTCCCCTTCGGAGGGGGTTACAGGGGAAATGGTTAGAGACACTAGCATTCTTTGTTTACCCAACCATGGAAGCTTGACCATTTTGTATATTTTGAAATATTGGATGACTCAAAATACTATCAACTCYCTGAGCAAAGAGATGGGATGTCCAAGCAACAGACCTTGGACAGGAAGCCAGGCAGGAACGGCGGGAGGCAGAGGCGAGGGTTCAGTTGCAGACAACAGATTCCACTTCCACGGTTTAAGTGGAAAGTGATTCATTACCAGGTATTAGGTGGCTTTCAACTCAGCAGAGACAGCTSTAGGCCAAGGTTCCAGGAACAGCCCCCAGGCCCCCAGGATTTCAGTGCCTTTGCCATGATCGATCAGGACTTTTCAACCATAGCAACTCACCACCTCTGCCGTGGTCCACACCAGTACCAGGGGAGCCTGCCCCGCAGCTGTCCCCTGAGTTAGAACTCAGAATCAGAGTTGCAGGGAGATCCGGAAAATCAGTGTGTAACTCCCCTGTCGCGGCGCAGGAAGGCATTCAGGAGGGATACTGTTGGAGCCAATCCACGGAACCTGTTGCAATTCATGCGAACWCTGAGGTTGCCTCTCCAGGAGCACCTCCGGCCTGGCCTTCTTCACTGCCCTGTGCGGCCCCCACCCCCATATAACGTGCTTCTCGGGCCAGAGGCCTCTCCTGCAGTCCATGGCAAGCTGGGACTCACTGGGGCCGAGGTTCTCAGCACAGCTTCACCCCACGGAGAACAGGTGGCAGCCTTGAGGGTCTGGGTCATGTCGCTCCTGCACAGACAGGGTGGGAAGGYGTCCCCAGGGCCTGGGCGGCTCCCAGGTCTAGGTGAAGGCTCACGCTGCCTCTCCCTTCTCTCCACAGAGATCCCCCAGTGCGCCGGCTGCAACCAGCACATCCTGGACAAGTTCATCCTGAAGGTCCTGGACAGACACTGGCACAGCTCCTGCCTCAAGTGTGCGGACTGCCAGATGCAGCTGGCCGACCGGTGCTTCTCCAGAGCGGGCAGCGTCTACTGCAAGGAGGACTTCTTCAAGTACGTGGGACCCTGGCAGCCCCTTCCCTCGTCSGGCCCTGCCCCTCCCATGCAGCGAGGGGGATGTCTGCAGTGGTGGTGGGGGGCAGAGGACCCCCTGGCTGGGGTGGGTGAATCCTGCTGGTGAGAGGATACCCCTCATTGGGGTCCCCCTTCTGATCACCAGCCAGGCCTCGCCCGAGCTGGCAGGAGCAGGGGCCAGCTTCCAGATGGAGGAGGGCTAACAGAGGAGGAGTCGCTCTTTCTGTCCTGGTGAACTGGGGCCCCAGGGCGCTTGGCTGTATCATTGCAGACTTTCAGAGGGAGCTTTAGTTCTGCCCATTCCTGGAAGAGCCCCTGTGGTGTTCCCCAGGCTGTTTCAAGGACCCCAGAGGCTTGGAATAATCTCCCTGGTGGGAGTCAAGCCCGGCCCCACAGCGTTGCCAGGGTAGATGGAAACATGATGAAGAGGCGCTCTCCTGTGTCAGTGAAGAGCCTGAACCCAGTTATTGGCTGTGCATTCTTGGGCAATTACTTACCTTCTCTGGTTCCTCCTTTTTTCTATCTGTAAAACAGGGCTGCTAATAATAGTTCCTACCGCATAAGGTTGTTATTAGCTTCAAACAGGTCAACATGTGTGAAGTTCTTAGGCAAGTGACTGTCACCTGAGGGGTGGCTTTTTGTTGTTGTTCTTAGTTTTACATGTCAATAGGACATATTTTGACCTATTGTGCTCATGGAGTGTAGCTTCCCACTCCTGCGGTGGGTGGTGCGTGATGTGGAGTGACACTGGTCATGTTTCATATATGACATAGGAGAGTGATGTCCGAGAGTGTCTTTCCTCCTCCCATTCCCCCTTCCTCCCTCCATTCCCTCTGTTCACCTGGTGACCTCCCCGTGGTGGCTTTTAAGACGGTCTGGGGTCTTCCATTCTTGGGTTGGGTCCATCCAAAAAATCCTGGCGGAGCTTTGGGTTCGGGTGAGGAAGCCTCCTGGAATCGGTTGTAGTGCCACTTAGATCGGGACTTCTCTCCTAGGATCTATTAGTCACCAGGGACCACGGGTCACAGCAAAGCCAAGAACAAGGGCTGGAGGGGGTGACACCAGTCAGTGACACTGAGCCCTGGGTGACTCAGAGGAGTGAAGTGGGGCTGTGGGGGAGGCTGCCCAAGGCCTGAAACATTCAAAGCCAAGGGCCAGCCCCYGGAGCTGGTGCGCACCCTCTTGAGACGGGAGGAGCAGGGAAGAGGAGCAGGAGAAAGGACAGCCCCCGGCCCGGCACACAGGGTCCCCAGGGTGCGCCCYGAGGTTAGACCACAAGGAATATGTGGATTCAATTTTGGGAGATTCTCAAACCTCTTTAGTGGGTGTGAGTGGAAGAGCCTGTCATGGATCCTGGAGCCACTGGGCCACCTCCTGGCGGGCTCAGAGGGTCGTGCTCATTGTCACCATCACACTCTGGCTCAATGYGTATGGCTGCCTCCCTGTGCATGTGCACATCACCTGTGCTGCAGGAGGGCAGGGGCAGAAGCTGCCCAGCTACCCCCACGTCCATCGGCTTTGCCCCAGGGCCAGTCTGCGGTGGGGAGAAGGGTGCTTCCTCCCCAGGGAAGATGGCCACCCTCTTGGGGCCACCCATCCTCCTGCTCTGTCTTTGCACTTGTCATCTCTGTGTTGTCTGGAGCAAAGGCCTATCTGCTATTCATTTTTGTGTCCCCCACATAAGCACTTGGCCTTAGCCTTGACCACAGGCCGCCACTGGTCTCTGGGTTTGAGGAACAAGGAGTAAATCACAAGCCTCCAGGGCTTTGGTGACAAGTGGCTTCTGTGTCTTGTCTTGCCAGTCAGGAAGCCCCAGGCTGTGGGAAGGGCAGAGGCCCGTCCTTTAGCTCTCTCCTTCCCCTTGTCCCCAGGATCTGCTCTGCCCCGTGAAGGCCCCAGGTCTGGGCTGGCCACCCGGGGAGCTGGCCACAGGTTTGGTGCTGAATCTGAGCCTTTAGCTCTGTGGTGGGTGCTGTGAGGGGCCGGGGCCTTAAAGCTGAGGTGATTGTCCCCCTTCCAATGGAGGGCCAGTCAGAGGTGAAGACTGGTGCCTCCCAAGTCCCCAGCGAGGACACTGGGATTGGCCATGACTGTTTGGAACAGGACATCACAGCTGCAGGCCCCGTGGTAGGTGAGGACAGGGAAGGAGGGAGCTGTCCAGGTCAGGGCAGCTCAGCCTCCCATCCCTGAGACACAGGCCCTGCAGCCACTCCTCAGCTCACTAATGCCAGCCGGCACCTGCGTGCAGATGGCACCCAGCAGTGGGGGCGCAGCCAGCAGGAGGTGGGGCAGTCCTGGACCTCAGGTCCCTCTCCTGTCTCACAGTCAGCTCTGGGAGTCCCACCAGAGGAATGGCAGGAGTCGTGTATTTGAATTTGTCCACCAGACTTCAGAGTGCTCTTGGCCGAGGGGTTTGGTCACGGGAGAGGGRGCATCCTCTGCAAATGCCGCTTCAAGAAAAAAGAGGTGGAAAAGCTCCGGGGGTTTCTGGGAGCTGCCTGCTCAGAGGCCGRGCCAGGGCTGGCTGGCTCTGCGGCTCCGCACTGTGGCCTCCCGAGCCGGGAACTGCAAGCTGGGGCCAGGGACTCCCTGTGTTGCATTTGCTAAGCAGGTTCCTTCCCAGGCCACGTGCTCAGCACACTGCGGCCCCCTGTCTCCCTGCAAAGGGTCCGTATTTTCACCTGTTTGTCCACAGGAGTGTTTGGGGGGGCTGCCCTGCACAGGCCCCGGGGGCGTCCTCCCTTGTATTCTGTGTGTGGCTTTACAATGAAGTGGGCGATGGTAAGAGCGACCCCCCGAGGTGGTCGAGAGGTGGAGCCAGGCCCTGGGGAAGCCAGAGGTCAGGACTCCCCCAGTCTTGGGCCAGGGAGCTGTAGCGATGCTGGTGACGGGCAGCAGAGGGCGATGTTGGTGTGTGGCCAGACCAAGAAAGAAGTGGTGCTGGGAGGAGGTACTCTGTGGTTGTTGCATTTTTCTTTGGGGGCTGTTGAACTCTGTCTKGCTCAGTATCAGCAACTGATTTTTCTTGTTTGTTGCTTTTGCTTCACGGGTCCTTGGCTTCCTTTCTCTGAAGGAAATAAAATTCTGAGACCCAAGAGGAGCGGCCCTGAGGTCTAATGCATTGATGTCATTTGCTCTGAGCAGGGGGGCCTTTAGGCATCAGGAGAGCCCACCCCTCATGGTACGTCGGGCCTCGTGCAGTGCGCATCGCCAGCTGAGAGCCGACAACTCCTCGCACTGCTTTCAATAAGCAGGTCCTTTCCAGACCACGTGTCCAGCATGTCCCAGGTCCCATGTCTCCCTGCAAAGGGAYGAGGGCCTGGAGAGTGAGGGGATGGGAGAGGACTCCTGGGTSTCCTCCTCCTCACCAACGAGGTTCTCTGAGGAGCCTGGCAGCTCCCAACTCCAAAGCACAGTGCAGACAGGACAGGTTCTCTGCCCCGAGGGCGGGCTTCCGGTGCCAGCTTCGTCAGTGGCTAACGGGGTGCCCTTGGGAAACAGGAATTCATATGCTTTAAAAGAGGCCTGCACACAGGAGAACTCTGCAGAAGGAGTGGCGAGCAGGCTTGGTGAACCCCAGTGAAGCTCTTGCGTCAGTGAACAAACAGCCAGGCCTTCCCTTGTCTGTCAAGAGCGGCTCACAGGAGCCCAGAGTTGGGACGGAGAGGGGGGTGACCATGGCCAACCCAGTGGAGGTGCTCCATGGATATCTCTGGAGTCTCTTGACCTGCTCCCCGGAGGGCCAGGCTTTCCGAGGTCCCTCCCAGCTGGGCCTGCTCCAGCCTTTCCTGGTCCCTGTTCCCCCAACTCTCCACCACCCAGCTCTGAGGGCTTCCTGTGGAGATGACTTACCTGCTTAGAGGTCCTCAGAGCCAGGGGGGGTAGCCAGGCAGCGTGGGGGGGCTAAACCACAGGACAAACAAGATGGGTTGATTTATGTGAATATTTGGGAGAGAAACCATTGATTATTAGGATACAAACCGCGTCACTCTGGAGGTGAAGAGAGGGCGGACTCATACAGGTTCTGCAGTACARGGCAAGCCTTGGAGGACATTCCAGGCCAGTGGGGAGCTTCAAGCCCTCCGACCACCAGGAGTCACACTCACAGGAGCCCATCCGGGGGCCGTGGGGGAAGTGCCAGGGCTTTGGGATGCTGTCACCTGGAGGCGTCTGTCTGAAGCATCATGTCCTCAGGAGTGTCTCCCTGCCCCTGAGGCCCTTTCCCTGCTGGGTGGGCAGGGATGGGTCCTGCTGGGTCCCTGGTGGAATGGGGGGCCTGTGTCACCAGAGCTGTACAGGACTGCTGGGTGGGTGGGGCGGTCGTTCCCCGGGGGGCTTGCAGGCCTCTCCTGGCCAGTCAGTCTCGGGCAGCCTCAGTCAGCAGCAGGTAGGCCACACCCCTGGGTGTCGCCGGGGTTTCAGCTCTGCTCACCACTCAGCCATCACAGTGGGGTTTGCTGGCTGCAAAGGGGACTTCCCTGGGGACCTTGACCGCTTCCTTGGGTGACCAGGACCTCCATTCTGGGCAGAGGTCCCAGGACATGGGGTCACCTGGGGAAGTCAGGCTTAATCAACTCTCTTGGCAGTAGGTGGAAAGTTTGAGTCCAGGCTTGGTGTCAACTTGAACCTCACATTCCCATCTCAAAATTTTAATTTTTTTGAGTTACTATGAGAATCTAGTAACCTGAAGTAAGTGCTCAGGGATCATCATTGTTGTCATCAAGGTCGTGAAGGTGCGTGGATATAGGAGAGAATAGGAGAGGAGTCTTGGGGTCGCAGGCTGGGGGTGGTGTGGCTGCAGAAGGCCTGGGGCAGACAGGTCTGGGGCTGGAGGTCAGGCTGCGTCCAGCGGCAGTGGCAGGAGCACATGGCCACATTCTAGTGTGGGTGTGGGGCAGGAGCTGTCAGCAGTTCGCCTCACAGGATGTCCCTGTGCGAAGGACTTTGAATTTCCCTCACCTGGCATGGTCCAGAGCTTT